ACTATTCGGATTGACACCAAATTTTGCGTGCAAGTATTAAATGACATTACAAAACTATTCCCGGTCTCAGAATTCCATTCGGACCTCGATATCATCAAAACCTACTCCAAACCAAATTTAAAGAACTTCAAAACATTTCAAGAACCAACTTTCACTATTAGGCGTCGAAATGCACCCGGGTCATCCAAAATCCGATCCGAACATACACCCAAGTCTGAAATCATCATACGAATCTATTAAAATTATCAAATCCCGATTCTGAGGTCGTTTACTCAAAATATTGACCGAAGTCAAACTTGACTTTTTTAAGCCAACCTTAAGGAACAAAGTATTCCGATTTCAACTCAAACTCTTCCAAATCCCGAACCAACCATCCCTGCAAGTCATAAATCAGTAAAAGCAAGTACGGGAAGTCTTATTTAGGGGAATGGGGTTTTAGAAAGCAAAATGACATGTTGGGTCGTTATAGTTTCGCATTCGAAGACAACCAATCGGTGACTAACACGTGTCCGAAGTCTGAACGATGCGACTGATGGGACGTTTTGCTAATCCGTCAACTCGGTTATAACGTACGAAGGAAGGAACCGGGTTTAAGTTATGCTTCCCGTCGCTTCGATAAATCTACTCTCCAGGAAACGAGGGGACTATATGTGTATGGGTAAAATCGAGGGCAAAGTTTTTCCCGGTTCCCCGATGAGAGAACGGAGGGGAAGCGTGGATCGACGTGATTATATTTATGGCCAGAATCCCCTCATATAGAGAACCGAGAGGAATGAACGATGTATCTAAGACTCGGATCGAGTATAACTTCTGAACCTCGGGAGACACAGTGAACAGTTATGCATGACAGATAGAGGGCCTTAATATTCGCCCTCAACCGGATATTACGATGCTAATCCCGTTCAGTATCAATTATGGATCAACAATTACCGGAAAGAGAAGATTTTTACCCTTTTTAGACTTATACTAGGACTGAAATTCTCTTATTATATAAAGCGAAAGTTTTTCTTTAGTCCGACACATGGTAACACGCAATTCAAAGCAATAAAAGTTTACTTTTGTCTTTTAGCTACTGTTCACGGCATTACTTGTTTGTTCTTTTCTTTACTCACGATCGAGCTTGTAACGAGGGTCCGATCGAGAACGAATTTCACTATTCAATCTAAAATCATGCTTGGTCATCATATTGCAACTGATTTGATCCTTTATTTTATTTTTAATTCATTTATATGTTATTCTTAATTATTCGTATTGAATTAAATTACGTATCCTTTAAATTACGTATAAATTTAATTGTTACTCGTTTTTTTTGGTAAACAGTGAAGTTGGCCAACAAGCTCACCATTGGTGAAATTGAGCTCATATCCCATGCGAATTGCGCAGATGAAGTACTAATAGAGGGATTGAGCTTAGTGCTTTTGGTCGATATGAGGGTCCCTGGCATTTTGAAAAATAGGGCTTGTTTTGGATTGCTTTACAGTGAAATGTGGAGGCAAATGAATTGGAGTACTCATTTCATAGACGTTGATATTTGATTTCGCAAAAGTATTAGTATTAGATTTTACTGGATAGTCATCTAATATGGTGGATTATCAATTTCAATTCAATAATAGAGTACTCTTTTGCTCTATCCCCATGTTAAAATCGTTTAATGCATAAACTAGTAAAACTGGCCTTTTTTCTTTCTTTTTTTGGGCAGCGGAGATGAATCTTACAATTTGAATGTGGTTTGGCCAATGAGTGGGAGACCACCAATGCCAATCAGAAGGCGTAGGTGTGGCCTACAGCCTGGGCTTTCGAGGCCTTAGCCAACGCCGTCCCGCGACGTGCACGCAGTGCTTATTTATGCGCACATGTTTTGGTGGGTCATGCCCTTATTTTATACTAATCGAAATTCCTCTTTAAGAGAAAAAGGAAATTAAAGTTCTTATTTGGTTGTTTGCAATAAAAATCTCCCCTAATAAGTATAAAATTTTGATTTTCGATATAAAATTTGCATGGCAAAAGTAATACACTAACTGACATAATACTCTACATTACAAATTATGTACTATTTTATGAGAATATAATAGTATGAAATAAGAATTGTATATTAGTAATATCTTGATAAAATACCTAAAGAAAAATACTTTTAATGTAGGTCGCGTTTGCATATCAATTTATGCAATTCATTTTAGGCGGTACTATTACTATTTGTAAAGTTACAGAAATCTCTTTTACTTTTTTTTTTTTTGTAATATTTTTAAATCTATAAAAATATTAATTATTACAACTTGTAGTATTTTTTATACAGTTTATAAATATGTAAACTTTATTTTAAATTCTTGAAGAACCTATCTTCAAATTTTCACAAAAAATAAAATACTTTCATCATCGTACACTAAATCACTCTTATGTAAAATGGAACATAGAGAGTATTATTGTGCTTCATTACATAGCAAATCTCTACAACACTATTCTCAATAAATAATTTTTATATTACTCCAACACTATTCTCTTTTACTAGTTTTTACTCCACCCCCCACCCCCAGACTCCTTTATTGATTTTCAATTATATATGCATCTTTTCCAGCCAAAAATTCTTTTTTATACAAAAATAAAATTTTCCTTTTACTTGTCTATTTTAACAACAACAACAATCCAGCATAATCCCATTAGTGGGGTCTGAGGAGGGTAGTGTGTACGCAGATCTTACCCCTACCCTTGGGTAGAGAGCCTGTTTCCGATAGACCCTCCTCGGTTCCCTCCCTCCAAGAACTCCCACATTGCTCTTGGGGTGACTCGAACTCACAACCTCTTGATTGGAAGTAGAACGTGCTCACCACTAGAGCAACCTACTCTTATCTATTTTAACAATCAAGAGAGATTTATTATTTTTTTAATATTACTCTTAATATTATTTACCCACACTCTCTAAATTTATTGGACTTACAACTTTAATAACTATTAAAAGGGATAATTCGGTAAAATAAACCCTTAATAAGAAATTTTTAAGTGATATGTCAAATTAATAGAAGACTAGTAAAAAGAAACGAAGGAAGTATTATTCCTTGCACAATCATGTTTGTGTTATAATCTCACGTTTCAACATAATTGATGCGTACACCAAAAAATGGATGTTATCTTTTGGAGTTAAACTCACAACATAAGTCGAAGATTGTCTCATTATATCAATAACACGATATGTTAAATTAAAATATAAAGGATAATACAAAAAAAATCAGGTACTAACGGTTATAGTAGACGAATTCCACATGGAACAAGTAATAATATCTATTCATAGGGTTTCATTAAACTCTAGAAGGTTAGAACACGTCTTGCACTAAAAAACTAAGACCTCCGACTTAAAAAGGGATGTCTGCTTTCTAGTTATTGGTGCTTGTAATTTTTAAAAAATTGAAGGCAAGCTTTAGATTTCAAGAACCCCCAGTTGGCGCCAATGTACCTGCCTCGGGAAATACATAAACACTTTTTCGGCTTTTATTTAAGAATTAGCGAACTAATTTTATTTTAAATATTTAAATTAAAAATTTTAATTTTAAAATAATTTAGAATATTTATAATCCAAAAAATTAAATCAACAAACTAAAATTTAGGATATATTGACTAATTTTTAAATATTTGTGATTTCAACACCTCCACCATCACGCTAATAAAGGCAATGGGGCCTTGTCTTTCAAGTTCCAATCATACTACCACCAGTATTCTGAATATTTTATTGTAAGATCCCATAAGGTTTTAGTATTTTACTACTATCTGTCTATTTTTTTTCTTTTCAAATAATCAACTGAAAAATAAAGAAGATCAAAATTGGACAAAAAGAGCAAAAAGAATTACCAGTATACCCTTTTACATTTCTACTACATGTCCTCAGAGGACTTGTCTTCAAACATTCAATAGAGGGAAAGTAAAGTAAGCTAGCATTTAGATGTCGATTTGGTTGAAATTCGGAATAATGAGTTTTTGAAGATGAGATGAAAAATTATTTTTGAAAGTCGAAATTATGTTTGAACCTGCATTTTACTTGAAAATAATTTAAAGTTTTGTTAATAGAAAACTTCAAAAACTAATCTAGAGTTATTTTTGTGATTTGAAGATATTATTTTCAAAATCTGCTAAAAGATAGTTAAAATATATAAACAAATAGATATTTGAAAATAAAATTTGAAAAAAAGCCTCCAAAATTTATGGCCAAATGAGAGCTAAGTTAAGTCTTTATATACCGACAATCTGTCGACTTTTTACATTATTTTAGGTTATTAAATAAGTCACTATTTATAATAAAGAGTATTGTAGATAATTTGAAAGTAAATCCGTTACAATATAACACTAGTACACCAATTACTCGTCGCCACTGTTTTGGTTCGAATCATATATTGTTTTTCTATATAAACTTCAATCACTTAATCATAATTAAACAATATGTAATATCACTTTAATTTGAAATTTTTCCATCACTTAATTATATTTTCTAATAAAAGCTTTTTCACACTTAAATGTAAAAATAATCGCTTGGATCGTTCTAGATATTTTTATTTTCAGCAATCATCGTAGATTCACGAGTAAAGAATATGAGACAACACAGGTTGTGGTAGAGTGATAAATACTTATTTATCCTTAATCATATATTTCGGGTTCGAGCTATGGGCATAGAGTTTCCTTATTAAAGAGCACTCTACCCCGATATAGAACTTTTTAGCGTGATTTCGGGATTTAATCAGGCCCCAATGCGGGTACCGGTATCGGGTGAAAAAAAAAAAGAAAAAAAGAAAGAGTAAAGAAGATGGGTCTATACTCTACAGTTTAAATTGGAGCAGAATAGCTGATAGGTCCTTATGGCTGACAGACACTCTGACGTCAAACCATAACAGTCCACGTAAGACAAAGAAACGCGCCAAAAGAAATATTTATATATACTCATTTTAAACTTAATTAATGGACCAGTAAAAGCACTTTTAAGGTTAATTAACAATGGCTAATAGTAGTCCAACACCATATGTGTAGAAATTGAATTGTATATACAAACAAACAGTCAGTCCCCTTCGCCTATTTCTGTAAAATACAATGTCTCTCTCTCCGTTGCTTCAGATTTGGAACTTCGGGCGTAGGCCGCTCTCTCTCACACTTTCCTAATTTTTCTCATTTGATCTGTTAAATTCATTTATCCAATTGATTAAACCCTTAATTCATTCCCCGAACCTTCCAAATTCATGCGTTTCAGTGAGCTATGGGCTTCAGCTACACGAGTGAAGAAGAGTGATTATACAAGTATGTATCTACTTTTTTTTTTTTTAATTTCTAGGTTTTGATAATTCGATTGTTGAATTTTAACTCTGATGCTCGGGTATCTGATTAGTAACAGTTTCTATACCCTAACTTTGATCGCGTCGCATAATTAGATTATAGTTTTTTGTTTTTTTAAGCTTTTCTGATTGGTCTGTTAGTTTATGTTTTATCTCTTAATTTTGATTTTCTATTGATTCGTTACTGGAAATATAATTTTCAGATTGATTGTTTGATGATCGGGATGAGAGATATTGAAGGAAAAAGCAAATTTGTCTGATTTGTTTTACTGTTTATTTTTTTCAGTTTTAAAGCGGAGTGGTTGCTGGGCAGCTCAAGGATTGCTATTTTCGTGTGCATATATTGTAGTGAAGAAGTTAATAAAATCTAATTAGTTTTCTGTAGAGAGTGTAAAGCATTTTTGCCTGTTTCATGTTCCGGGGACTTCTGATGCTAAATTCATCCAAGGATTTAGCTGAAACTATGATCACCAGGGTGGCCGGCCCTTCTGGTCAATGGATCCAGCAAGAATCATCTCAGCCGCTTATCTTGAGTGATGGCATATCTTTACACAATAATGTAAATAACCATATACCTGTACAGACTAGTGAGGTATTTTCTATGGAATTTCTTCAGGATCCTTCTTCCAGAATAGTTCCTACTGTGTCTGGCTTTACTGAGAAGCATGATAAGAGAGCTGGACCTCAAAGTAAGCTAAGCCAACATCCGGGTTATGAGGAGCTCACAGGACTACTTGGGTTGACAAGAATAGATTCTGAATGTGCTTCTGACATAACTGAATTTGCTTCTGCAAGAGGGTCTATCACAGAAATCGAAAATGGGGGTTTTGTGGAGAATGAGCATACATATAATCAGAAAGTTAGCTCTTGTGGGCATGTTGCTGGGGGAGCTACTACAGAGTTATGCCATGATCAAGCTACTTCAGGGCCAACTGCTCCACCCTCATCTAAATCTGAATCTTCACAGTCACTAAAATCTTCTGGATTAGGAACTTCAGATTGTTCCCAGACAGGAAAAATAAAATTCCTATGCAGTTTTGGTGGTAGAATATTGCCTCGACCCAGTGATGGAAAACTCAGATACGTTGGTGGAGATACACGTATCATTTCCATACGGAAGAATATTTCATGGGAAGAACTTATGAAGAAAACATTGGCCATCTGTAATCAGCCTCACACTTTCAAATACCAGCTTCCAGGAGAGGATCTTGACGCCCTTATATCCGTCTCTTCTGATGAAGATCTTCAAAATATGATAGAGGAATATTATGGCCTCGAGAAGCTCGGGGGCTCCCAAAGGCTTCGAATATTTTTGGTTCCTTTGACTGAATCTGATAACTCATGCCCTGTAGATGCTGCTGTTGTTCAACCAAGTGATCCCGATTATCAATATGTTGCTGCTGTTAATGGCATTGTTCGGACTTCCGCTCAGGAGAATTATCATGAGCAGTGTGTGGGCCATGAAGTCAGCAAGGTGATACCTAAAGTAGACCATGGTAATGGTCTTTATGTCCCACCTCCTGCTCAATTGATTGGTGAATCTCAGAATCAGGTTAGGTTTCCCAATCAATCTACTCCTTTTTCTCCTGTGCTTGTTCAACAGGGAGATTACAAGAACGACCCAGGGAACACATACAAGAACAAGTCGCCACATGGTAGTATTGAATGTCCGGTGTCGTTTAGCAGCACCCAATCATTACCTGAAAACCCGAGTGGATGCATTAATGTTGGTTATTATGCCCCACAGGTAAACCTGATGAATTTGCAGAGTCCTAACAAAAAAGATGATGTTGCCCTGCCAAGCCAATCTAGTGAATTGATTTCACATCACCATGGTCCCAACAGAGACTTTGTTGCTCCAACAATGGAACAATGTGATGCAAGCTTTCAACAGTACTCTTCTGAAAGAACAGAACCCAAGGAAAGGGCAGTTCTCTCTGAAAAGCCGAATGATGAAATGGATCTATTACTGGGATACACTTCAACTGTTACTCAAAATGGAATTCCGCATGCCTTTTCGGATTCAAAACTTCAGGAACATGGAAAAAGATCAGCTTACTGCTCACAAGAGGGAATAAGCTCATTTTCCTCTTTGAACTTTGCACCAGCTCAGTTATCTTCATATGGAGTGTCTGCTGCTCAGCAAGAGAACCTAGGGTCTCTGCATCAGAATACATACCCAGTCAGTTCTCTGCCTCATATTAGGGTATTGAATGGGGAATTAACTGTGGCCAATGGCATGGCGCAAGAGTTGCTTTTCGACTCAAATTCAGTGAGTAGATGTGGACCCGTGCAAAGAAATGTTAATGGTACTGACAGTAGACGCAACCCATCTGAAGCAGATTTGGAAAATTACCATCCCGTTTTGAAAAACTATATGGACAAAAATACAATTTGTGAAATGGTGAATGCATGTGATGTCAATAACGCACTTTTATGTCATGATGTTAAATCACCTGATAACAAGTCATCCAGAACAGCTGTGGTTTCGAGGAAAAAAATGCCTGACGTAAACTCTGTTATGCTGTCTAATAATGGAGGTGATATACCGGGTGAAGAATCACAAAATTTTGACATGAATTTCCTTGCATCAGCATCTTTAATAAGTACAATAAATGAGCGGTCCCAAAGAAATCAATTTGAGAATGCCTCAGCAGGGATAGAAAAGGATGAACCTGAGAACAATATATCCCGGGTCAAGAGCTCTGAAGTTGCTGGGAGGATTTCAAATTCTGAGACGCAGTCTCATGGTGCAGAAACTCTGACTGATCTACTGCCTGAGTTGTCTGATGGCCAAAATTCCTATCATTCCCCCATGCCAGCAGTTGTTGCATGTCCTCAAGATATTTTTGCCAAAGAACCCTTGCTAATATTCTCCGAGGAATTGTCATCATCATCAGTTGGTGGTGATGGAGACCAGTTGATGTCCTCGCATTACTCAGCTTTCAGGCAAAACCCAACCAAGGATGTTGTTTTTATGAGAGAACTTTCTTTAATTGATGAAGAATTTACCAGTTACAGTGATCAAAGAGTTGTGACTTCTGGCATTGGTGAATTTTCTAGTGAAAAGCAAAAGATAGAAGATGCCCAAGTTAGGAAGAGTATCAAAGAAAGTCAGCAGGATCCGAAGGCAAATGGAAGAGATATTAGATCACCCAGCGGTGACTTATATACTGCAAATCTCCTAGGGTTGGACACCATTGGTGGTGCAGTCATATCTTTCAGTGCAACAGACGGGGTGGCATTTCCCCATGACTTGGGGTTGGAGGTGAAATTCTATTTCATTTTGATGGGTTAGTTTATGATTTAGTTTATAAATGCTCTCACTTATGCTCATAAAGTTTTACATTGATGACCTGGCTTGGCGCAGGATGCCAACCCCAGTGATAGAGATAAGGATAATTTAATCACTGATGCTATGATGGTTGAACTGGAAGCTGATTTGTATGGTTTGCAGGTAAAGGATCATTTCCTTTCGTATTTTAAACCTTGTGGGAATTGCTCATGATAACAGCTTCATTTCTCCCCTTTTCAACTATGACGGCTTACGCTCTAATCTTGCGTAAGAGTCTGAAAGACTCAAAGGGCATTGCCCTCTTACGGCCATAGTACCAGAGGCAGACTTATAATATATACAAAGGAGTGGGATAAACTGTACAAGGCTTTGTCCTTCACTACATACTCCCCCTCCTGCAATACCTTTATCCTTTTATCATGGGTTGTTTTATGAATAATATCTTTGATTTATTGTCATCCTGAAAGATTTTGCGGTTCAGTCCTTAGCTGTGATAATGGTCTGCTATTTCTACTGTTGGAGTGCCCCTCAGAGGTTATGGAATGATTTTATTGCTTATCAACTATGTTCCTCTACTGCTTGCTGATATTGAATTTAGAATTAGGTAAATCCAACAATCTACTACAGTAAGTTGTTCTCTCAAATAGGCGGCACTAGCTATTACGAGTTGTATTAAAGGAGCTTCTAGTCAATCATGAGGCTGCTACAACATCTGGTATACAGAAATATGGATTGTACAACTATTAATATCGATCTTTCAATTTGATATAGAATAACAAAGCTGATGAGGTTAGACATTGTCAAAAGTAAAGTTTTGATTGAGTGGCTGATAATACTTGGATTCCCTGTTAATAAATATTCATATATTTCTCAAAAAACTACTCATTGAATACTCTACATGTACTAGATTGGCTGCAAGTAATTGTCCTTCAAAAGTATAACTCTACCCGCAAAGTCTCCAAATATGTTATCTACTCAGCGGAAGATCCATTCCTGCACTGATGCTTGATCTCCGTTCAGATATGTGGTGAAATGCGGAATTGAAGCACAAATGTATATCAACCGGTGTTACGTGGTGCATTGCTTCAATTTGTGGAATGGGAAGAAATCCAATGTGCTCAATAATATCTAAACCTAAAAAAAAGCTTGTTGGGTTCTGACTTGTGTATATCATATCATAACACTAACGAAAATATCTTAATTCTGTCAAAAGAACGAAGTAACAACAACAACAACAATAACAACCCAGTATAATCCCACAAGTGGGGTCTGGGGAGGGTAGTGTGTGCACAGACCTTACCCCTACCCTGGGGGTAGAGAGGCAGAGAGGCTGTTTCGGAAAGACCCTCGGCACAAGGAGTAAAAGAATGAAGTAACCCTTCTTAAATTTGAAAAGTATGAGAAAGTATATATTTCTGGTGTATAATGAAACTATGTAATGATAAACATTCTTTTGTTTTACACATTAATTTGGTTGAGTCATGTCTAGACAGTTTATGACATGCATTATAATACAAAAAGGTAATAATTTGTTAACTAAATTAGCATACCAAAATTTCCAGCCTGTTGTGTTTCAGAACACCCTAGGTACACTAGTCCTTGGCAGACTATGCACTCCCTGGGTATAACAAAATAGGCAGTGATTTCGTTCACCAACCTTCTGCTTTGCCAATCTGCCCAAGTTGACAACTGATGTTAATAGTTAAACCACATAGTATATGTATCATGTATGCTTTGCCATTAACTTATTCTGTGTTGGTTATCAGTTGCCATTGTCTTGACTAGGTTTGATCTTTGGCTATGTATCAGTTGTCACTACGTTGCCAAGTTTAATCTGTTGATTTCAGCTGCTTATTCATCCTTTTTTTTAAGCACATCTACTCTGTCTGTCTACCCAGCCTTTCCTCTGTGCATAGTGGTGGCAAAATGAAAAAAAAATAGTTATCCATCCATATTATCCACTAAAAAATGGGTTGGGTGATGAACGTTTTAAAAATGGGTCAAATATGGATAAGAACCATATTATCCACTTTAAATATGGATAACCAATGGGTTTAACTTTTACATTTGCAAAGGCTCTAAGTTGGGGGTTCCTCAAGTTTGGGAGGCTAGGAGTTCTCCCAAAAGTGATCATATTCAGGAAGCCATGGATAATATCGGTTAACCCATTTTCTATCCGTATTAAATATGGGTCGGGTCAGATAATTTATCTATTTTTTGCATTATCCATTTTCTACCCGTCTACATCCGCCCCGCCCCGCCCCGTTTGCCACCCCTATCTGTGCGTGTATTATTTCTATTGTTGAGGCTTTTCGATGCTTCAAAAGTTCTGCTTTTTGCTGAGTGACATAGGCTGAAGGTTATCTCTTGGAGAATCTTCCCTGAGAAATTAGTTCGTAACTAGTTCATGTTTTACCCTTCTTTTCTGCTTTTACGAAAGAATGCAAACTTATATCTCTTTTCTTAGAGTTTAAATACGTTTGCTTTCTTTAAGAGTTCATTAATTCATACTTAAGCAGTAAGCTACAGCTGTTGTTAGTCTGCAGATCATAAAAAATGCTGACCTAGAAGAATTGAGGGAGTTGGGCTCTGGGACATATGGTACTGTTTACCATGGAAAATGGAGAGGAACAGATGTTGCTATAAAGAGACTCAAGAAAGCATGTTTTTCTGGGAGATCATCACAGGAAGAAAGGCTGGTTGGTTTACTGTAACATATTTTCCAAGCATATAATTTTTTCCTAGATTAGCAGCAGCGTTTATGACCCTTATTGTGAAACTCACAATAGAATTGTCTTTTTTCCAGATCAAGGACTTCTGGAGAGAGGCACAGATCCTTTCAAACCTTCATCATCCTAATGTGGTTGCATTTTATGGAGTAGTACCTGATGGGTCAGGGGGAACTTTGGCAACCGTGACTGAATTCATGGCTAATGGATCACTTAGAAATGTTCTTATTAAAAAGGACAGGTGAAGTTGCTTTCTATCTGTCTATTAGTTCTACGTGTTCCCTCTAATTCATAACTTAATATCATCTGCTGAAGTCCTTGTGTAGGTCACTTGATAGTTACAAGAAACTTCTAATTGCCATGGATGCTGCTTTTGGGATGGAGTATTTGCACTCAAAAAATATCGTCCACTTTGATCTAAAATGTGACAATTTGTTAGTCAGTCTGAGGGATCCACAGCGACCCATATGCAAGGTATCTTCAACCATTGCTTCAGGAAAACATGCACTTCTGAGTATACAAGAATAATCCATAATGAATCATGAGAGTGCATCTTCTGACATAGAAGCATGAGTTCCAATGATTTAGCTTTTGTTGATGTTGGAATATTATTGGACTGACTTCTGGTCAGATAACCTTTCTGTTTCCAGAAGCACATTACTTTTATCTAGCGAGCCAAAAGTTTTTAGCCAATTTGAATGAATGATGAAAGATATTGGAACAGAGTGTACTGCCACGCCAAATAAGGTTTCTATGGTAAAATTTAAGACCATTAAAGACTGCTTATAATGAAACAAAGATTACCACACCACCACGTAGGAGAGCTACTATATGAGAACAATGCATTCTTGCATGCTTATTTTGTAGGGCGAATCCTGCTAGCTCTACTGATAAATTTTCATAGGCTAATTTAAGCCAATCTGAATTTAAGTAAAGAAGCTTATGTTGCCACAATGAGTTATTTGTAAGATAACTAATGCAGGTTGGAGATTTTGGACTGTCAAGAATTAAACGCAATACTCTCGTATCTGGAGGTGTACGAGGTACTCTTCCCTGGATGGCACCTGAACTGTTAAATGGTAGCAGTAACCGAGTATCTGAGAAGGTTAGACTAATTACTGTAATTTACTACTATCATATGAAGTAAGCCGTGAAAGTATGTCATAAAGCAATAAACTGGATGGTTTGGTTTCCGACAGGTTGATGTTTTTTCATTTGGCATAGCAATGTGGGAGATCTTGACTGGGGAAGAACCCTACGCAAACATGCATTGTGGGGCAATCATTGGTAAGGCTCTGGTTACCTGTTAAACCGAGTGAATATTTTCTGCTTTGTAACTGTGACGGGAGTTGTATATAAGGTATATGGAAACAAGTGGTTTATACTTGCATGACCAATTCTGTACTTACATCCTGTTGAGGTCCATAAACAATTCAAAAGGGGATGATTTCATATTAAAAAACCAGACTGTTGTGGCATTAAATTTTTCTGTGCTATAAATCAGCGACTTGACCACTTCTCAGCTAAATTATATTTTAGATTATACCTTTTTTAAAAATAAATCATATAATTCAATGATTTTTAACATTTGTTTCCCTTCAGTCTTGTTTCTAATACTCTTGCTCTAGCCTGTTTAATTGTTGCTACTGCGAATATGCTTGAGAATTCGCCATTCTTCCTTTTATACATGTGAAACTCGGAAACATGAGGCAAAGGCCAAAGCGTCTGGCCAAGTTAAAGCTTAGTCTTCCAAAATTTTGACAAATTGACTTTATGTCCTTATTTTTGCAAGTGTTAATCCTTCTAAATGATTTCTATATCTGATGTTGCCAAAATTTACTCATGCATCCGAACAACTATTTTTGTCCAGTAATCCAATATAGCTCCGCAAGTTCACGGTCTTTCCTCAATGCTGAATTCCAGTCAAAATCATTAATCTTGCTCTCTGGGAGCTCCAGAAACATAGTAGTTGAAGAAATTTAACCACTTGACTGCAACATTTTAAGGTGTTTATGAGATTGTGATGTATTCAGTCTGAGGGAAAATAGGACTGCTAGTACACCTATTTCGTTTTGGTTCGATCATATTAATGCTCAAAAATGATGACTGTGTAGGCCACCAATTCTAACCTAATTGGGCCAGAAGCTATAAAAAGAGCGGTTAAGCTACGTGCTATTTTCAATAAGTTTTCTTTGTTAATTAAGAGTTTCCCTTTCCTTTTGAGGCAGTGGAAAGAAAAGAAGTGCATCTTTTTGATTTCCCAACCCTTTTCAATTTGGCCTTGTTTGATTTGTTGATAATGGTTGTAGGGGGGATTTTGAAGAATACTCTTCGGCCTCCAATGCCAGAGCGGTGTGATCCCGAGTGGAGGAAATTGATGGAACAGTGCTGGTCTGCTGACCCTGAAGCTCGGCCATCATTCACGGAGATTAGAAACAGGTTGAGGTCTATGGCTGCTGCACTCCAGGCAAAGGGGAATAGCAATTCAGCCGGACGTGCCAACGCAAACACCCCTGTGTAAGTCATAAGGATAACGCACCTGCTTTTGTACTTTCGGTCAACTTGGTGGAAGCATTGGGAAATGGATGGTTTTCTTTATTTTGCTAATAGAGCAACCTGGCTTTCTCTCTTTCTTTGCTCTTAAGTGATTATAATTTTGTATCATTTTATTCATTCTTTGCAATGGAACGCTTCTAGTCATAGAATTAGGCGTAAACTGTGATAGTGTGATGAAGTTACTGAGCTTGCTTTTTCTTCTTCTTGGAAATCAGGTGTATATAGACGTTTGCTCAAGGAAAAAATTGTGTCTTTTTGTTCCTGCCACAGACTTGGAATCTTCTATATATGAGTCGGTCGTACAGTTTAATTACCACTTCACTTATATAGCCGGGAAAACTTTTAGATGAATATCAACAAATCTATTAATGCATAGATATAACTGATTCCTGAAAGTAAAACTTGCGCGTTTGTATTGCGCGCTAACAAATTTTAGTGTTATTAAATGTTTTTGCTGAAACGCCTAAAAATGAAACCCCTTCAAAAAAAGAAGAATAAAGAAGAAAAGAAAAACTGATATGGTATCAAAGGAAGAGGGAAGTATTTTCGGGCTATATGATAACTACCGTGGAGGAACTGAGGAAGACAAAGCTTTCAAATAATCAGAGGCACTGGGAAATTGCTTTCCCTTAATGGGATTACCTAAATAACCTTTTTTGGGGGGGTGAAATCGGGCCCCTTGTACATTTATGAAAACTTCACCACTCCTCCGGAAATGGTTACTGGTCTACGCTTCAACAAAATAAAATACAATTCACCCTGTTAGATAAAAATGCAGTTATAATCTGTCATTCCACATTTGCACTTTTTGTTCTCTGTTAGCCAATTTTGGTATTTATTTAACCTTTAATTTGTAGAAGTTACTGGTAGATTTACTCCATTCTCAATAGGTCTAGAGCACACTAAAAAGAAATGCTAGACATGTATCTATTTATCATTTATTCATGGTTAAGTAATAGGGATTTTCATTTTAATTTTTACTAATATAATTAAGTTGTTTAATTTGATATAAGCATTCGATGTAAATAAGTAGTTATCAAACGGGTACCTTCACCTTTTCGTTAATGCTACGGTGCATGTCCTTTTCTTGAGGGGTACGTCCCTTCTCAAGACGAGACGGTAGTAGATTCACGTATTTTTCTTTAAAGGTACGAAACCTCAAAGATAAATATGTCCCTTTTGAAAGAAGCATGCCCCCATAGGTTTGGAGGGGTTTATAATGAGGGAATGCCATAGCCTTTCAATGGCAGAATAGTTCGGGGCACCCCGAATTTGACAACTTTTGTTTAGTTCCCCTTTAAACTTCACGTGATCTTTAATATCATTATGAACTTGGTAATTTTATTGCCTCGACTCCAATCCATGAGAGTGTGATACATGCGCTGCCACATAGATTTTTTTGTCCATGTGGCATTTTTCACAATAATATATATATTTTTATCTTTTTAAATCCAACAACTATTTAAATTACTTTTTTCGTGCCACAATCTATATAAAATAAACTTGAAACAACATTATTTTGACATAATTTTTTATTTGGCGAAAGATAATGATATTTTAATCAAGTTACTTTTACACATTTATCATAAAAAGAAGGAATACACAGTTAGAACATATTATCATTGCATCTAAAAAATAAAAATAAAAACGTTGTTGGAACTCCATATATTGGCTAAAAAATTTTTTTAGCTAAGAATATTAAAATTCCGAACAAATATTTGCAAATTTGACTCGAAAAAAATGCATGGTTTAAATAAATAGTCATTGCATGAAAATAAAAATAAAAATACATAGTACTTTTTTCTTTTTGTAGAAAATACCATTTGAATTTTATTACTTTGGCTACATGTTTTTTTTTAATTGGCTAGATAAATGGAGTTTCAACTAACTTTTGTGGATTTGGACCGGAAAAATAGATAAGAAATACATCGTTCAAACATATATTCATTGTATTTTTAAAAAAAGTACAATTGGAAAAAAGAATATACAATGTATATTAAGAAAAAACAACGAGAACTACAATTGGAACAAAAAAATCATTATATTTGATTATGTGACAATTAATATTTGAAAATATACCCCATTTGGAAGCTAATTTTTCTATTTTTCTTCTCTTCCAAGAGCCTAGAAGAGTGTATTCACGCTCTTGCCACATCAGGATCTAGGAGGGTCAAGACTATCAAATTTTCAAGTTCAAAGGGTATTAAAGACCATATAAATTTTAAGGGAGAACTAAATAAAAGTTGCCAAGTCTAAGGGGATCCCGAATATTTCTGCCGCCTTTCAATTGCATTTATATATGTATTTTTTTAATGGATCAGTTTACATCGATATTAAGAGAAGAAAAATTGAAAATTAAAAGTTTTATATGTAATGAGAGGACACATAGTCTTACACATTGACAGTTTATTGTATTGATATTTTCTTCATGAAAGAATAGTGAAAATTTTTATGGAAAAGAGTGGAATTGGATATCAACTAATTTCTTATGAATTATAAAATACAGTGCAAAACAATATGATTCGTCTTTCTATCGTACGAGTCATATAGAGGTAAATTAAAACGACAGAGAAAAAAAGAATATAAATTCTGTACATTGACGCTGCAATCTTTTTTTATAAATAATTGCTTATAAAGTAATTAGATAAGGATTTCTATTATAGTATAAGCTTGAACGGATAACTTGGTAAAAATGGTAAATAATCTGTTATCAAATGTTAAATTACATAGTCCCATTTGTTTGTAAGGTATGAATCCGAATGATTCCTACCTTAGACTATTAAGTGCATTTTCTTAAATGATTAAACCAATTAATAAATCTGAATGTAATCTAATATTATTAAGAGGCTATATAGTTACATACTTTTTGAGAGGATGATTCAAACCACCACCATAAACTACTACTATACAATTATAATTGTCGGCCACCAACACCATAATTATTACAACGACCAGCAACTGCCACGACAATCGCTATTATCTACCACCTTCACCATGACAACTAGTATTATCGTCGCTGCCAACCACCTGCATCACCACAACTATTACTATTGTCAATCACCACCACCATCACACCCACTAATAGCCACCACTACGATACAATTATAATTATTAGCCACCAACACCATCATTATTACCGACAATGACCAGCAACTGCCACGACAACCATTATTATCTACCACCTTCACCATAACAACTAGTGCTATCGTCGCTGCCAACCACCCGCATCACCACAACTATTACTATTGTCAATCACCACCACCATCACACCCACTACTAGCCACCACTACTATACAATTATAATTGTTAGCCACCAACACCATCATTATTACCGACAACGACCAGCAACTGCCACGACAACCACTACTATCTACCACATTCACCATGACAACTAGTGCTATCGTCGCTGCCAACCACCTGCATCACCACAACTATTACTATTGTCAATCACCACCACCATCACACCTACTAATAGCCACCACTACTATACAATTATAATTGTTAGCCACCAACACCATCATTATTACCGACAACGACCAGTAACTGCCACGACAACTACTACTATCTACCACCTTTACCATGACAAATAGTGCTATCGTCGCTGCCAACCACCTGCATCACCACAACTATTACTATTGTCAATCACCACCACCATCACACCCACTACTAGCCACCACTACTATACAATTATAATTGTTAGCCACCAACATCATTATTATTACCGACAACGACCAACAACTGCCACGACAACCACTACTATCTACCACCTTCACCATGACAACTAGTGCTATCGTCGCTGCCAACCACCTACATCACCACAACTATTACTATTGTTAATCACCACCACCATCACACCCACTACTAGCCACCGCTACTATACAATTATAATTGTTAGCCACCAACACCATCATTATTACCGACAACGACTAGCAACTGCCACGACAACCACTACTATCTACCACCTTCACCATGACAACTACTGCTATCGTCGCTGCCAATCACCTGCATCACCACAACTATTACTATTGTCAATCACCACCACCATCACACCCACTACTAGCTACCACTACTACCAACTACCACCATCGCCGCTAACATTTACAACATCACGACTATCACTATTATCAATCATCACCGCCAATCACGCCCACTATAATAGTTACCCCTATGGTTAACCACCACCACCATCACTAACATAGGCGTATCTATAGGTATGGATATGTGTTCACTTGAATCCATGCCCCTTCCTAGTTGACGTATAATTATGCTATATTTTTTCAAAGTTACTTAAATATATATGTGTTCACCCAATCTCAAAGAATCCTATGATGCAATAATATTGGGTTCACCTTTACAAATGAAGTTAACACTTCAAATCATATTATCTATCTTGTTGTTTTTTCCTTTCTTTCTTTTTTATAAAGTTGAGCTCTGAGGTTTAAATCTCATGTCTGCCGTGTTTTTTTTTCCTTTCTTTTTCTAGAATTTGGTCCACCCGTGGGGATGAACATGTCTTGTGTTCCTCCTTTTACATTTTAATTAAGTATTTTTTTCCTTTTTGTTTCTTTCTTTGTTTTTGGTTTATTCATTCAAAATTCTCAAGTCTGAATACTCAAATCCTTATTCTTCTTCTGTCATATCATTAAATTTTATGTTTTTAAAAAAGGGCACATCGGCATATTAAATTTAGCAATAGCGAAGAATGTAGTTGTGGATTTAGTTAATCTCAATATTTTTCACATAGTATAGATACATATGTGAAAAGTTACAAAAATTGAAAAAAATAAATAAATTAAATCTATAATTTTAAAAGAGTAATTCATGAAGAAAACCTAATGGTTGAACTCGTCAAATATTAATTCCGTATCCACCTCGTTATAATATGCATACATCCTCTTAAAATTATGGATACGCCTCTTATCACTAATACCCTAGTCAACCACCACCAACATATCCATCATCACAACTAACACATACAACTCCTATATCGTCAATCAATCACTGCTAATATTTATCGATATAATCTTTAAATTAATATTTTATTTACATTGACGAGAAAAGAAGAATTTAATTGGGATCCATCGGCATATTATTTTATTTAATTGGGAATTAATTGTCAAATATTAATTCCGGATCCACCTCGTTAAATGTATATTCAAATCAAATATTTAATCTTAAAAAATAAATACCCCCAATAGAGAAAAGAAAAAAGTTTACGCCATTAGTATATATAACTTAAAAGAAAAATATTGCAGGAACCATTTACATACTTCTTCGGAGTTCCTGCAATTGTTGGCATCCAATTAATGTGTACATATAGACTGGAGTCAACGCTAAAAAGAATCTAGTAGGAACTAGATGATGCCAAGCCCGTGCTGAGCACAGGCCCAACGTTGTACTTATGAAGTAGCAGCTTACAAATAAATTTAAATTACTGCAAATTAAGCTAACTCAAATGGACCTACCAGAGCTTAGCGCTCTCCTTTTTTATTTTATTATTTTATCAAAGTAGAACATTTTCAAGTTTGTAATTAAGTTTAAAGACTCTTGGATAGAGATAGTACACTTTTATTTTACAAGATGAAGTTTAGTAGATTTGGTGCCTATAATCTGAGCATTGGAGTTAGCACAATAAATAATATCGTATCCAAGTTATCAGTTCGCATAAACAATGATCTTTAGAAAATAAAACTACTTTCAGATGCCTTTTCACTTTCTAGGCTCTAGCGGACCAAGGTCATCCCTACAACCATCATTGATCGGGTATGACAGATTTTGAGACCAATATAATATCAAGATAGTCTAATTTTCCCTTTAGCTCGATTTTGTATGGAGCTAACTCATCTCGAGCATCCAACAAAGATATATGCGCTCCATTCTGCGAACATGGAAGTTTTAAATTATTAGCCAATAGATCATTACAATAATGCGTTAAAACTTTCATCATACAAAGAAACATCCTACTTATGCTGCTTGATAATTGAGCTTCTCCACTAAGTACACAAACGAAAGAACTACAACAAATTCAGTGTAATCCCACAAGTGGGGGTCTGGAGAGGGTAGTGTGTACACTGACCTTACCCCTACCTTTACGAAGGCAGAAAGGTTTCTTCTGGTAGACCCTCGACTCATGAAAGATTTAAAAAAAGGGGCAACAACACAAGCAAACCAATCGAAAAATACAAATGAAGCATTGATGTAAATTCACGAGGCCCCTCTTATGGCCTACTGACCAAATCTAGTAGAATTTAGCTAATATTAACATCGAAAGTAGAAAAAGAATAATAGTCAACATTAATTTAAATCAAGATAAAAACAATGATGTTTCATTTTCTATATTTCAGATAGGGGATTTTACTTGTAACAACATCAATTAAAGTACTTACCTTTTTGATATATTCACATTAGTTATAATTACAACAATTGATACCTAATTTAAAACTTGATGATGATAATGATTTACATTTTGAGCTTGTAAAATTTTTGAGTGGCTCCAACAACAAATTCAAAGTATTTGGTTTCTTTTCTCGAATGAAGCGCATGAATTTGGAGAATCTATTTTATTTTAATTCTTGAAGCCTGTTGTATAACAACCTTTAATCCCTTGGATGTCTTAGACATGCATAGTAAAAGGAGGAGCAGGGTAGTTTTGCAAGAAGTAGCATAAACTATTACCTCATCTTGAGTTTCATAAACCTATCAACTTTTCCTAATCCCCCTCCACATACCTAATATTCTAGAATTTGTTAAGGTTCTTGTTTCAACTTTTATTCATGACAATATGACACTTTTGTGATAATACCTCAACATATAATTAAACATACATGATTCAGAATTACAAGCTTTTTCACTTCAATCTTTTTCTTAATCGGCTATTTTTCCCGCCAACTTAATGGAACTTCTAAAGCTTCAACCTAGTAAAAATCCAATACAACAGAATAAACTTCTAAAAATTAAAGAAAAAGTCACCATAAATTTTCAGTTGAACATAAGAGCCACCAAATCCAAGCAAGCTCTTATTTTATTTTATAAGCACAGAACTTTTAGCTCTACGTGTGTTTTTTTTTTTCGTCAACAAGTGAGATTCTAGATATCAGAATACGAAAAGTCATAATAAAATGAAATAAAAAAAACACAAAATAGTTGAAAAGGAATTAAAAAGCTAAATATAAATACCTTATTAGATAGGATAATCTTTAAAATACACATAAAAATGACTACCAACATAATAAAATGATCTTTTAGGAGTAAATTACTGTAGAAATACTCCATAAAAAAAGTTTAACTCTTTCCGGGTATCACTCTTCTACGACATTAAATAAGATTGAGGGAAATCTCAAAATACAATAAGATGAACATATGACCTACTTTTGAGAATATAACATAATGCATCTGACACTACAGAGACAAAAACATTGCAGCTACAAGCTAGTAGCCATTCCTTGAAGAACTTGAGAAGAGAACCTTCAGAATAGAGGTCGGAGTATACCCATATTTAATATGGAATTAACTGAGAAGTTTCTTCTAAGAAAATATTTTCTAAAGGAATTTGTCCAATAGAGTTATGAGAAATCAAATATAACATACATTCAATTACTCAATAATAGATTTTCTAACATGGAACGGTAACAGCCTAAAAAAAGGAGGATTCATTTCCAGTTAATCACGAAATCACAAATTTAGTAAGTCATGTTTAAAGATAGGTCAAACTATAAGAAGTCATATGTAAGATCTTAAATTTATCAGAGAGTATAGTCGAAAGAAAGGAAAAAAAGGCTTAACCAACTCTTAACCGGAAGCTATAAAAGGCCTTTCAAAACATAACAGAAATGGAACGTCATTGTCACTTGAACATGTAAGCATTTCCAGTCAAATTTACTTTACAATAATTTCATTTTCTATTCAAATTCTCTTCGATGAAAGGCAATAAAAAAGTTATTGCTATTAATTGTAGGCTAACCTATCCTCTTTGAATAAAAGAAAAATCATTCATATCCAAGTTGTGGCGAAAGAAATAACGTAGTAATTTTATGGAGCATCAAATTGTTGCCATTTGCATTCCAGTACTAATATACTACTATTGTAACATCTGAGTTAACAAAACTCCGTTTCAGTTAGCGAAAATTTTTATTCATGAACGAAAAACATAAACATAGGCTTAGATAATTTTTCAAACTAAGGATTAAAGGAGGAAAATAACAAATTCAAGCTTAACAAATAGATGAAGCATCCAAACAAATAAGATCTTGTCCAGTAAGTGTTAATGCCAGTAAATAGACTTCAAAAGGGAGAAAACACTCTCCTTAATTTTGATTATACAGCGAATAACACAAAATCCTAAACCTGAAAGCCTTGTTTCAAGAAACTACCTGAAACGATAGATTTTGCTAGCCTGATTATATGAAATACTGATGTGTATTTGACATACTTTCCCTACTCTGGTGAATGGTGATCTTCCCCTGCCATTACATATAGCAGAAAGGAAAAAGGTTTAAAACAAAGAGGTGTTAGAGGAAAACTCAAAATTAGCTAATTCCAGATAGAGGAGAGGATTTTAGCGTATATAATATGAAAAAATCTAACTAAATATGCTATCTATTTTTCACACATCTGAAAGAGTATTCTCTGTGAAAGTGTGAAGATGGAGAATATTTTTTTTTTTTACGGAAGGAGGAGAACAGGAGTAAAAGCGATGGAAGGGTCGATGTTTCTAGACTGAGGTTTTTGTGCGTTGTGGGCTGTGGGAAAGAAAATATATAATGTCTGAAATGACGGGTTTGCCCTTGGTCGACCATGATGGCTTTTCTATATAATAGAAAATCTTTTAACAACCAAAGTGGAGCAAAAACTTAACAACCAACTAAAAATAAATACAGTCAAGAACTAATTAATGACTAACAGGAAAGGAAGAAATAGTAAATAAATTGTTTACTCGAGCATCAACTGTGTGTAATATGGTCTGTAACAATATGGTCAAGTGGGAAATTATAATGTTTGGTTTTGGCAATTTACTAACTACTCTAATAAGTATTTTGGCAATTTCCTCGCCTCTATTTTGTTTGACACTATTTTTTTATTAATCGATTTAAAAAATTAACACATTTTATAGTTTTTAATAAGAAACTTTTATATTGACATAAATATTATATTATGTTTAAGACCATAAATTTTAAATATTTATAATTACACAAAAATTATATACTTAACATGTTTAAAGTTACAAATTTTAAAATTATTCATTTTTTCCTTAAATTTTATAGCCAAATAAATTTAAAAAAATGTTTTTCTTTGAACTTTCCGTGGCATTTCTTGTTATTGAATACATCTGAAAAACGTTGAAAGAAGTATGTGAAAGCAGCTATTCTTTTCTTTGAACTTTCTGTTCACATGTGCATTATACTACCACCAATTACCCCACATATTCCACTAAATTTCGTGCAGGTCTATTTCTTGGTCCTCTTTAACTAATAATTTGGTAGTAGTACTACTATATACTATATATGATGGGAGTAATCCACTAGCAATAACACCCCATTTCCATCTCTGTGTAAAGGAAGAAGAAGAAGAAAGAAAAATGGAAAAAGCTATTGAAAGGCAGAGAGTTCTATTGGAGCACCTTCAGCCCATTCGTTCTTCTTCTCATCACACTCATGATCAGTCTTCTTCTCTCACTGTAAGTTTTTTTTTTCTTTCTCATTTCTATAATTCCTAAAGAATTGTTATTGGACTGAGATGGATTTAAATAGAGTGACACGGATGGTGAAGATTCATATAGTTAATCTCAACTTGACTGAGATTGAGACTTAGTTGTTCTTGTCGTTAATTTCTATAATTCTTGTTTTTTCTTTCAACAAATGGGAAAAATAAAGAATAAAGAACTTTGAAAATATGAATTGTCTTTTTTGGTGGTTTTGTTCATGGTAAGATGCAGAAGAGCTACCAACAAGGGTTGTTGTGGTGAGGTAAGTATTACTTCATTTTAGTCTCGGGTTCGAGCCCGACAGAGGCGGCTCAATGGTGCTGGAGGCCTAAAGACAAACCATAGGCCTTAACCTTATTTAATAGCTTTAGATATTTTTGTTTAAAGTTTATATTTTTTACTTTTTGAGATGCAATTTAATCTTGATGATATAACCAACCCATTTAATCTTTGTTGAAACATTACTAACTTTTGATAATATTTTCTTAAGTTTAATTTTTTTTTTTTCACTTGACCGTCAACATAACTCACTATATATCATTGCCTCCCAAAGTAACAATCACGTGGGAATTGTATTTACAAAGATGATAAACAAATCAACTATAATTTTTTACAATCTAATTAGCTTGAAGAGTACCTACAAAGACCTTGAAAGAAAATATCTTACAAAGTTAGAGTTGTAAATTAAATTTGTTCAAGTTGGAATGAGGAGATATAAGAAGAGTAGCTTTTGGGGCCTCTAATTTTGTGAGGCCTAAAGCGACCGCTTTAGTGGCCTGGGGGTAAGCCGCCTCTGAGCCATGAGTATGGAGTCGCCTTTGTTAGGAAGGAATTTACCCCCAATGTGTAGAACTTTTCGGTGCAACTCCAGATTTAGTTGATCCCCAATGTGGGTACCGGACACCGGGTAGGAAACCAAAAAAATAATGTAAAAGAGCTAACTTATTACGGGTTTTTTGTTTGATGAAATTCTTTTCTAGATAGTAGCTGATCCCTCGAAACCAAAAAAAGAAAGTATATGGAAAGAAAAAGAGAAAAAGGAAAAATTACGTTGTAAGCATTTTAATGACTATAGTACTTTTCCTGGGAGTCTACTATACCATATGATTGTTGTTGCAGTATCCATTGGAGGCACATATGAAGGAACACAACTTAATTTTTTTTAATAGCCAAATACTTGAATATATTTTTTGCTTTTTGAGTAGTGAGATTTGAACCCTCTTGGCTATGTTGATACCTTGTTGAGGCGTGTTACTATCTCATCTAAAAGATTAAACTGTTGACAACACACTGTTATTTATTTAATTATGTCTTCAATACAACGCGATTTTCAAAATTGTGAAAACCTTAAGAGTTAAAATTTGTGTAGTTGCCAAAATAGCTCAAAGAGCCTATGTTGACATAGACTTTACGGGCAAGCTAGTCCGGACACCACGGTTATCAAAAAGAAATTGAGAGACTTTAGCTTCACAGTGAGGCAACTAAAATGTGTTGATGATTATTCTTATTGTTTTTGTTTCTCTTCAATGTGGTCAATCTTTGTTTTTTTCTTTTCCTTTTGGACAGCCATCAATTTGTTTAGCTGGTGACAGTGCTGCATATCGAAGGACGGCTGCTTTTGATGATGATGTTGTCATTGTTGCGTAAGTTGTCTCACTTAATTAGATCATCAAGATTTCTTAAACTGTTTGACTTCCTCTATTAAAATGGTTGGTAATTTGATGTTTTGCAGAGCTTACCGTACTGCTATTTGTAAAGCGAAACGTGGAGGTTTTAAAGACACCCTAGCAGATGATTTACTTGCTCCAGTTCTGAAGGTATATTGTTTGTCTATATTTCAGCTTTCACACTCTTGAATGTTTGATTAACCTATGCTGGAATTGGGCATTTATATCCTAATCAATCAATAAAATGAAGGAAACAAAGAAGAAGAGACAATGTAATTATAAAAACAATACTTAGGTAGGGGATTTCTCCCCATCTACCTAAGTCTCCTATGGTGGACAGAGTTTACCTGATATCTATACTAGTGGGAGCTAATAGATACTAGGTGGAATAGTCGAGATACATGAAAGCTGGTCCTGACACCAATATTACTTGAAAGAAGAAAAGAAAAAGAAAAATGTAATTTTTGTGGAGGTCACACATTCTTTGTCCTCAGATTTTTATTTTCTCCATTGAGGTTTTTTATGAGTGCAAATATTGTACTGCAGGCAGTAGTAGAGAAAACCAACCTGAGTCCGAATGAGGTGGGAGATATTGTTGTTGGTACGGTTCTGGCACCAGGCTCTCTAAGAGCAATGGAGTGCCGGATGGCTGCATTTTATGCAGGTTTCCCAGGTATTTATTTTCTTCCCTTTCTTCTCTTTTGTATGAAGTTTTACAAGATTATCTATAAGGAAGAATACCAAGCAACATATGGTGTTTTTTGTTGTCATAATACTCATAACTAAGACTGGCGCATTTGGTTTAAATTAAATATGGGTTAATCGAAATGAATAGATCCCTTTTGATACAAAGTCTGACGTGCTCTAACCTTTTCAAAATATATAGCATCTAACTTGATCGTTTTTCGCAGAAACTGTGCCAATCAGAACTGTGAACAGGCAATGTTCTTCTGGCCTCCAGGCTGTTGCTGATGTAGCTGCATCAATAAAAGCAGGATTCTATGACATAGGTATACAAGTTCGTCAACATACATAGAGAAACACCACTTGCTACATTTGTGCTTTCCTTCTGAGCTCTAACAATTTTGTGCGTGCAGGCATTGGTGCTGGACTAGAGTTAATGACAGTTGACAATATTGGAAGAGTTCAACAAGTTAATCCGAAAGTATGCTCAAACTCAGATTTTGTGCATCATTGTACCTGAAACCTCTTTTCATAGTTTAGTGTTTTAATCTGGACTTATTTTTTAACAGGTAGATGCTTTTGCACAAGCCCGTGACTGCCTTCTTCCTATGGGCATTACTTCTGAGAATGTCGCACAACGATTTGGAGTGACACGGCTAGAACAAGACCAGGCTGCTGTAAGATTTTTGGGCTCTATTAAAATGTCTATTGCTATAGGAAGTGCAGCTAGAGTTCTGATCCCATCATTTTGCTGCTATAGGTTATTTCTCACCAGCGAGCTGCTGCAGCAACTGCATCTGGAAAGTTCAAAGATGAGATTATCCCAGTATTGACAAAGGTAGACATGCTGCTAAGAACGACCTTTTGTTCTGTGTGATCTAATAGACTTCTGACTTTTATGACTAATGTTTACGATGAAAGATCGTGGACCCACAAACTCGAAGGGAGAAGCCCGTTGTGATTTCTGTAGATGATGGCATTCGGCCAAACACAAATTTGACAAACCTGGCAAAGCTGAAACCTGCATTCAAAAGCGACGGAACCACAACTGCAGGTACTAGTTTATACTATCATAAACTGTTTGTTCTACTTAAAAAGGTTGAATCTAATGCTGTTTTCATGAACTTTTTAGGGACTGCTAGCCAGGTCAGTGATGGTGCGGCTGCAGTGCTTCTTATGAAGAGAAGTGTAGCTATGCAGAAGGGACTTCCAATTCTTGGCGTATTCAGGTCAGTGATATCCTTTTTCTATGAATGGGAGTTTTTACATGAAAGCTTAGAGTATATTCCTCAGAAAAGGTTATTTTGACTCGAGAGTATAACAAGCGAGGTTATGAGTTTCAGCTCTTAATTTTGGTTCCCATGAATCTTTCTTAGCCTGTGTAAAGTGTCTCTTGTGCAATGTCGCTTCTGTCATTTCTAAAACTCTTGGTTCTTCACTTTACCAGATTTACTCTTTCAAAAACGGAAACACCAAATTTTATGAGTATTTTATAATGATGTTCACTTTAGTACTCATCAGTTGCAGTTGCTAAGGCAGAGAACTGCATAGAGTCCAAGTGGATCTTTGTACTTTTATCATGTAGTTTCTTATGTTTCTTGAAAGGCACGAAAATACAGTTATTCTTGAATTAGAGACAATGTTTAAGTGAAATGTAAAGTGACGAACGTACTTCCTGGAAACTAGATTATTTGGTAAATAGCAATAAATGACAGAATTGCAGACTGAAAGTTGCCTTGGATTTAGCAACACATGTAAAGTGAATTTAGAGACAATGTTTAAGTGAATGGAAAGTATGCAAGTGAAGCTTGGATTTTGGATTTAGAATTTCTCTTGATAAACAAAGTTGCCTTTTTTAAAATTCGCCCATGTACTGCAGGAGTTATTCACTAGGATTATGTCAAATAACCAAACAGTCTAAGTTGTCTTTAACATACAACATTTCCAATGCGTGGTTTGTAAGTACAAATTGTAATTTTCTTCAAAATGCAGGAGCTTTGCTGCTGTTGGTGTGGATCCTGCTGTAATGGGAATTGGCCCAGCCGTTGCGATACCAGCTGCTGTTAAGTCTGCTGGTCTTGAGCTTGACAATATTGACCTGTTTGAAATAAACGAGGTAATATGTCGAATCAATGGGAACTGCTTCATGATCAAACTGTAAGACATTTTGTCTCAGCAATTATATGTTGCCTTGACAGGCATTTGCATCCCAGTTTGTGTATTGCCGCAAGAAACTCAATCTTGACTCTGAAAAGGTTAATGTGAATGGAGGGGCAATGGCTCTTGGGCATCCTCTGGGTGCTACAGGTAATTATTTGATAATATCATTTTACAGTTATATGGTATTTAACTTCATTTCTGCCATTGTGATATATAAGTACTCTATCAAATTTTAGATTTAGTATTTGAATCTTGGATGTTGACACATTAGACTTATATTTCATAGGTTGCTTAGTATATTTTAAGGAAAATATTGAAATTGTGGAAGCTAACAATAACGCCTGAAAACTTTTATATTCTTTCCTGGCCCATTTTTCTGATGAAACGTCCGATTGAATGTCATCACCTACTGTCATTCAATATGTGTTCCTAAGCAAACAAGTAAGTCATGTGAAAACATTAATAATTTGTAGAAGTGACATTTCTTGAATTGTCTTCTGAAAGAGAGGACACAGTTTTTATTACAGACGTCCGTCCTTCCTTTTTCAGGTGCACGTTGCGTGGCAACTCTGCTTCATGAGATGAAGCGTCGTGGCAAAGACTGCCGCTTTGGTGTGATTTCCATGTGCATAGGTGTGGCACTTTTTCTGAAAAATTATAAGTATGATGTTTAGATCCGTACAATCTTATATTTGTATGGTTATCATTATGTTGCAGGTTCTGGGATGGGGGCTGCTGCAGTGTTTGAAAGAGGGGATGCTGTAGACGACTTATGCAATGCTCGGGTCAACAATAACAACAATTTCTTGTCCAAGGATGCCAAATGAGCACGCGAATAATATCCAAAGTTTGGTTTTGTTTTTGAGATAAGAGAATGTGATGCAGTAATGTAATACGTAAAGAGTAAACACAGCTGGATTTTTTAAATTGAGATCAAAATGTATCATTTATTGGATTCATGAGATAATAAAACGAGAGGAAATGAACACATGGTAGTTTTCGAAGTCGTATGAACCAGTTTGGAGTTCAACTCGCAACAAACACCTCATGTATCTCCCTTTTGCGTCATGCACAAAGTAGTAGGAATCAAGTTTCATCTCTAAGAATTTATGAATTTACGCATATATTTTACATTAAGAATAATTATATGTTGGTCGCTATTGTTAAAAGATTGATCAAAATTAAAAGTCATCTACTAAGGCTTTAAAGTCAAATGGGTTTATATGACGTCTTCCTAAAGTATGAGGTCTTGTGTGTAGATATAATTTCTAATTTAATGATGGGCTAAATTAGAAATACATAAACTTGTAATGATCCGCAAATTAGATGTAGGGTTTTCTTTTCTGATATCCATGTCTTGGTTTGAAAGACAGATAACCACAAGTCTAAAGGTTTTTCGGTCGTTCTCATGGATATAAGTATGCTTTTGCATCTAGTTTTTGTTCTCGATGATTTGACATGATAGATCTAGGAATAAGATGATGTTGATCTTTAAAATATCTTGGTTCTAATAATTGGTATCAATAATGTAAGATATGGCCTAAATTTGTCCTTAGCAAACTTGAAGCCAAAGTATTCAAACTTGGAGCCAAAGAATTCTAGCTTCCAAGAACTTTTATTCTTTTTTCTTTACTTGGGGACCGAGAACTTTGCCCTGTAAATATAGGTCATCTTACTTCATTTGAATCATCCCATATTTTGATTAGAAACTCATTTTGAGTATTCTTGTAATAGAGAGTTTTATTATGTTCTATAGAGTTAGTGTTAGGAAACACTTTGAGTGAACCTCTTCTTTGTGAGTGATTGTAGCGAGGTTATTCTCTTGAGATATATTTTGGTATAATTAGAGTTTCATCTCTAATTTTGTACTCTCTTTTGTGTGCCGGTTGTTATAGTGAAATTGTTCCTCTCCGTTTGTGGACGTAGGTTACCTTGACCGAACCACGTTAAATTTTGTGCCTCTTTTATATGCTTTAATTATCGTTATTATCAACTTGCATTATCTTTGTATTGTCATTAACTTTGTTTGGCAAAATTTCGCACTACCCGAATTTCCGATCCTAGCATATTAGTATCAGAGCTGGATCTAACCGGATTAGTTTAAGTAGCCAATATGACTCTAACAAAGACTTATGTTAAGAAATTTGAGTGAAGTGCAAACTTCGGGATGTGACAATTAAAGATGGAAGCTATCCTAATTCAGGATGGCTTAGACTTGGCATTGCAAGAAAAGGAAAAAAAGTCGGATAAAATAACGGACGAGGAGTTTGCTATCATAGACAAAAAGGCAAAATCAGGTATCATCTTAAATCTCTCAAATGAGTTTTTACGTGAAGTTTCTGTAGAAACCACAATCAAAGGTATGTAGAAAAAATTAAAAATCTTGTATAAGAAGAGAACAGTGAAAAATAGACTTTACCTGAAGCAAAAGCTTTATACAATTCGTATGGGTGAAGGTACCTCTATTCTCTCTCATCTTGACACCTTTCATTCCATTCGTATGGATCTGAGTAATATAGACGCAGGAATTAAAGATGATGATCAAGCCATATTACTGCTTTGTTCTTTACCCTCATCTTTTAAGCATATAAGAGATACTATACTTTATGTAAAAGATAATATCTCTTATAGGGATATTAATTCTATCTTAAAATCAAAAGAACAAATATATAGTGATATTACTGGGGAAGCTAGTGGAACTCAAGCAGAAGTTGGCTTGTTCGTTAGGGGTAAATCCGATTCAACATTCAGATACTATAATTTAGAGTATCGCTATTGTCATAAGAAATGTCACATTATCTCCGAATGCTATAAGTTAAAAAATAAAGAAAAGAATAAGAAAAGAAAAAATGAGCACAAAGATACTGACACCGCCGAAGCTAGTTTAGCAACTGATGAGATTGAGGGAACTATATTTTTAGCAACTGAAACTAGTTTCAAATCTGACAATGACTGGATTTTAGATTCCGGTAGTTCGTATCATATGTGTCCCAACGGGGACTTGTTTTCTATATATGATTCGGTTGAAAGCGGAGTTATCCAATTGGGTAACAATGCTACTTGTAATGTTATTGATAAATGTACAATTCGAATCAAAATGCACGATGGTGTGGTGAGAACTCTCACCGATGTTACATATGTTCCTGAGTTGAAAAAAAATCTCTTTGGGCACTTTAGAATCTCTTGGGTGCAAATTCACTGGTGAAGGTGAAGTTCTGAATTTTTTTGAAGGTGTTCTTGTGATCATGAAAGCACACAGATCTGATTCATTGTATACTTTATTGGGATCTACTATTATAGGCACTACTACAGTTTCGATATCAGACAACTTGTCTGATTTTGATGGCATTAAATTTTGACATAAGCCCATTGAGACTTTTCTGGAGGTGGAGGAAAATAATTATATCATCCAATTTAGGCCAAAGTTGAGATTTGTAAAATATGGCCTAAATTTGTCCATAGCAAACTTGGAGCCAAAGTATTCAAACTTGGAGCCAAAGAATTCTAGCTTGGAGCCAAAGAATAAAAGTATTTACTTTTATTCTTTTTTCTTTACTTGGGGACCAAAACTTTGCCCTATAAATATAGGTCATCTTACTTCATTTGAATCATCCCATATTTTGATTAGAAACTCATTTTGAGTATTCTTGTAATAGAGAGTTTTATTATATTCCATAGAGTTAGTGTTGGGAAACATTTTGAGTGAACCTCTTCTTTGTGAGTGATTATAGCGAGATTATTCTCTTGGGATATATTTTGGTATAATTAGAGTTTCATCTCTAATTTTGTACACTCTTTTGTGTGCTGGTTGTTATAGTGAAATTGTTCCTCTTTGCTTGTGGACGTAGGTCACCTTGACCGAACCACGTTAAATTTTGGGCCTATTTTATATGCTTTAATTGTCGTTATTATCAACTTACATTGTCTTGTATTGTCATTATAACTTTGTTTGGCTAAATTCCACACTACCCGAATTCCCGATCCTAACAAATAACCTATATCATGTTAAATTATTGGGATAATTGTTTAAAGTATTGTTTTATAACGAAAAGAAAAAGTGGCTGGTTTAAGCCGTCGTTGCGGCAATAAGATTTCGGTTTGTATGCCACTTTAAGGATATATTCTAAGTAAAAAAAAAGTTCTTCAATGAAAAACGCACATAAATAAAAAAGAGAGGATCCAGTTCTTTGCCGCAATAACGGCGTGCAAATTGGTTAAGTTTTGAAGGTTAGACTCCTTTTATGGGCTATCAAAATACTCCATTGAAGTTCTTTTCTAAGTTCTTTGGTGATGAATTAATTTTGGTTTGATTTAGTGCAATATTAAATTTCGTAAAGCGAATGGAACATGAATTTGAGTAAAATCGTTTTCTGTTCGTAAAAGGAGAGTGATTATAGATTTGTATCTTATGTAAAAGCAAGTTTGGGATATTTCGTGTAGCGAAAATTGCATCGTAGGTAGTGTTGTTGTTTTGGTTCCCAAGCTTTTGACTTCAAAAGTTTAATTTTTTTTTCTCAGCAAATAAAAAAGCATTGAATTACTTATATACGCCCCTACTGCTTGTGGCATTACAGAGAAAGGAGTTTGCCCTCCTTTATATATTTGGTTGTTTTAAATTCTTTTTGAGAGATACTATATTAATAAAGGGTTGAGAGCAAATGGTTGTTTTGTTTCTGGAATTTGGACGCCGCTCACGGCAATAAAGGTTAAACGGAGGTTTTGTCCTCCTCAATTGCTGCAAGAACAGTTAATTTAAGAGTTATTTACATAATATTCTTTTGCTGTAATTTTGAATACACTCGTAGAACCTTTAGAATAAATTTTGTGCTCATCATTAATTATTTTGGCTTGAAATTTAAATTTGGATAATAGTATGTTTATATATATTTTGAGATGTCACAGTGACCTCTCTTGTGGAGATTTATTTGTTTTAAAATATAAAAGGTTTTGTGTGTGTAAATTATGTGAATATTGATCGGCTCAAAGGAAGATTATTGTTTAACAGAATTATATGTGCATTTTTATGGTAATAAACACGTGATGCTTATTTAGTTGTACGTGTGAATAATAAATCGACCCAAAGGAAGATTTACAATTCAATATGTTCTTTATTATCAGTGTTTGATTACTACACCAAAATATCACTTATAAGTTATTATTCTATCCAAATATAAAATAATATGGAGTGCCAATACCTTGAGATGATGTTTACCTTTATTCAAATTTACATTTTGGTTTTAAGTATTATGTGAGCTTATTTTGTTATTTATTTTTCTCTAATTCAGTTGAAATTACTCTTGCAAATATTATCGCCAACATCAATTCAATCCCTATATTAAATGGCACTAACTTTAAGTCATGGCAAGAGAACTTTAACATAGTTCTCGGAGTCATGAATCTCGACCTTGTGTTAAGGGTTGATTCTCCGTTATCTCTTACAGATACGAGTACTCTAATGAAAAGAGCGATATGGAAAGGTGAAAAAGATCAAATCGCATGTGTAGGATGATCATGAAGAAAGTTATTCCATAAATATTAAGGGGCACTATGTCCGACAATGTTAAGATGACTAAGAAATTTATGGCTAAAATTGAGAAAAGTCTTCTCCAAGAGTGAAAAGGCTAAGAATTGTATACTCTTGACAAGTCTGATTTCAATGAAGTATCAAGGCAAAGGTAATATCAAGGAGTACATCCTGCAAATGTCTTATCTTACTTCTAAGTTGAAAGTACTTAAGTTACCTTTCTGTGGATTTGCTAGTGCATTTGGTTTTGATATCTCTTCCACCATAGTTTAGCCAGTTCAAGGTGAGCTATAATTATCAGAAAGAGACTTGATATCTAAATGAGTTCATCTCACTGTGTTTAGGAAGATGAATGATTGAAGTAGGAAAAAAAAGGTACACACTTAGCCGATGTCCCTAAGGACAAAAGGAAAGACAAGAAGAGAAAGAATAAGGAAGCATCGAATACAACACATAAAAGAAACAACATCAGGAACCAACTACAAATTGT